AAATAATGACAAGAGTTAATAAATGGAACAGCATCAAATTAAAAAGCTTCTGCACAGCAAAGGATACAATTAGGAATGTGAAGAGAGAACCTATAAAATGGGAGAAAATCTCTGCTAGCTACTCTTCTGGCAGAGAATCAATATATAGAATATATAAAGAGCTAAAAGAAAAAAGAAACTCTATAAAAAAATCAAATAACCCAACTAATAAATGGACAAATGAATAAAACAGAAACTTCTCAAAAGAAAAACAAATGGACAACAAATACATGAAAAAATGTTCAAGTTCATTAGCAATGCAAATCAAAACTACACTGAGATTTCATCTCTCACTAGTCAGAATAGCAGTCATAAGAATATAAATAATAATAAATGCTGGAGAGGATGTGGAGAAAAAGGAACATTTTTACATTGTTGGTGAGATAGTAAATTAGTACAACCACTATGGAAATCAGTATGGAGGTTCCTCAAAAAATGGAATACCATATGACCCAGCTATACCACTTCCCAGTATTTATCCTGAAAAATTAAAAGTCATCTTACTACAGTGATACATGCATATCCATGTTTACAACAGCACAATTCACAATAGACAAACTATGGAACCAGGCTAGGTGTCCATCAACAGATGAATAAAGAAAATGTTATATATATACACACACATATATATATACACACACACATATGCATACACACATGACACGCAAAGGAGTTATTCAGTCATAAAGCAACATGCATAATAAGTCAAAACTCACAAAGTTAAGGTTCATATACTTTGTCTCATATGTGGAAGCTAGAGAGGAAAAAGGAAAACAAAGTAGGGGGGGATCTTCTAAAAATTCAAGGGAGATCAGTAGAAGAAAGGGGCCAAGGGATAGGAGGCAGGAAGGAGGGGGGAAATGCAGGCCAAATTCTATTGTTATATTTTATAGATGAACAAATAACAAATCCCATTGATACGTACAACTATAAYGCAAAGATTTAAAATGTGGAAAAAAGAAAAAGAACACTCTCAGTGAGTATCTTGGTACAGGCCTTGGGAGCAACTTGGGAGACTAAGGAAAGAGGATCCCAAGTTCAAAGCCAACCTCAGCTACTTAGCAAGGCACTAACCAACTTAACCAAGACTTGTCTCCAAATAAAAAAGGGATGAGAATATGGCTCAGTGGTTAAACACCCCTGGGTTCAATCCCCAGTACCAAAAAAAATTTTTTTTCCAAAAAAAGGTAGGTCACTTTACATAGAAAGTTTCTGATGGAGAAAGCTAACTGAAAGTCAAAATATCAACCAATATAGAAAGCACTACAAATTCAGTAGAAAGCACAATGAATCTGGCTTCATTCTTCAAAATAATAAAGCTTAAAACAAAATTGAAAAAATATTCCACATTTCCTCTTCCAAATGACTCAATCAACAGAGTTCAATATGCATCAACAAAATTGGAGATCTAAAATCATAACGTCCACATTACTCCTTGTTTCAAAACTTTTCAAACTAACTACAGTATTCTAATATCTCCAATAAGACTTTCCTAATTAAAAGCTAAATACAAAGTAGTGACATAAGATGAATCCACAAATTCTTAAGGTAGTAACACAAGAATTATGCTAACATTTGCAATGTAATACATATGTTACTGTTAAGATTCAAACCTAGCCAGTCATGTTGGCATGGGCCTATAATTCCAGCCACTCAGGAGGCTGAAGCAGGAGGATTGCAAGTTAGAGGCCAGCCATAGCAACCTAGCAAGGCTTTATGCAACTCAGTGAGACCCTGTCTCAAAAATTACAAAGTGATGGGGATATGGCTCAGTGGGTAAGCACCCATGGGTTCAATCCACAGTTCCAAAAAAAAGATTCAAACCCAAGCAGACACTCTGAGCAGATATTCTGATTAATTGACTACCAAGAGAGAAGTCAGACATACATGTCAAGTATCATTAACTTATTATAAATCTAGCWAGGCGCGGTGGCGCACACCTGTAATCCCAGCAGCTTGGGATCTGAAACAGGAGGACCACAGTTCTAAGCCAGCCTCAGGAAAAAGCAAGGCGCTAAACAACTCAGTGTAGACTCAGTCTTTAAATAAAATACAAAAACTAGGGCTCAGTGGTCTAGTGGCCCTGAGATCAATCCCTGATACCGCCCCCAAAAAACTAATAACTTATTATAAATCTCATAATATTCCAAATTTGTTTGCTTTTCCAAGATTTAACATTAGTTAGTCCTAAGTCTTCAAAATATTAGGACTCAAGAGCTRATCGTGTCATTAATTTATTTACAGCATATAAATGAAAACACTGCTTTTAACCACATTTTTCCAGCATATACAGAGAAATGGCAGATGATGTAGAACAATACAAATTTTGGTACAGTCCCACATAATGAAAAGCTCTTTAAATAATCAACTACTCAGAAAGGGCAGAGAGCTAAATCAGAAAATGTTAGAGGACCCTATGGTTTTCTTCTATGTTTTCTCTTTGGGTGTTCTCACTTGTTTCATAATTTTGGGGGGATGTGGGGGTAGTTCTACCATTGAGTCACATCCTCAGCCCTTTTGTTTCTTTTGAGACAGGTTCTCACTAAATTGCCCTGACTGACCTCAAATCTGCTATCCTTCTGCCTCAGTCTTCTAAGGTGCTAGTATTATAGGCAAAGATCACCTTGGCYGACAACTTCTTTTATAAGTTTTAAGCACTATTTAATACTCTAAAAAATATAAATCAAGTAAAGTATACTAACATTTTTACAAAATGGAAAGAATGTATACACACTTGCTTACAGGTGTACAAAATATACCTTTGGAAGACATGTAAGAAACAGCTAACATTGTTTGGATCCAAAGAAAACTGGATGATAGATAAAAGAAAGTGGAGGGAGATTTTTAATTCTATACCTAACTGAACATTTTAAATTTTGAATGCTAATAAAATTTTTAACCAAACCATACAGTATAGTATACCAACAGATAAATAATGATGACTCCTCATCTTCATCTTTCCCCACTAAAATTTAAGTTCTATGAAGGCAGAGATTTTTGCCTAATTTTTCAATACTTTCTCCACATTACATGGTCCACATCTGGTGCTTGAAAAACATCTGCCAAAAAAAAAAAAAAATGAAAGGAATCCTTAACCTTTCCACTAAATTCAACTTGTATACCCAATTGCCTACTTCTCACCTCTACCTGAAGAACTAGATCCTACTCAAATATGTCTAATCCAATTCCATTTCCACATAACCTGTTTCCCTCACCTCTTCCCCATCTAGTACATGGCATCACCATTCTCCAGCTGAAGTCAAAAACCCAGGAGACACCCCATTCCAACCAACTACACACGTATCCAAACTATAACAAGTTCAATAAATATTTTTCGTCCCAAAACATATTTTCAAACCTGGTCACTCGACTCAATGCTCCATGGCCACTTTTCTTCCTACAGGTGCCCTGATTTTCTTCTCCAATCTACAGTCAGATTTTAATTCAGACCATATACTCCCAGTTCTTTATTAAAAAAAAAAAAAAAAAAAAACTTTTCAATGTACTTTAAGCGTAAAAGTCAAAACTGTTTTGAAAAATAAGACCCCATAAGACTTAGTCTCTAGCTATGATGTAAACTTCTCTCTCACCAGCATCTATCTACAATGAGCTGATTTTCAGTTTGCTGGACTCAAGTGTGATACCACCTCAGAGATCTTCCATTTATTGAACCCTCTGAAAGGAACACTCCTCCTCCAGAACTTACAAAGGCTAGAGTCTTCTCATTTTTCAAACATCAGATCAAAGGTCACCAGAGAAAGGTATTTCCTGACCACAGTATCTGAAATAATCTTCTCTTCTCCCAACCACAACTCCTTATTTTATTCCATCACAGCACTTATTCTCTGGAATTATTTGTTTCCTAGTCTCTCCCTCCCCAACTAGCACTGAAGCTGCAATTCTATATCCCTAATGCCTGTGATATTTCTTGGCATGCAGACCAGGTGCTTAATAAATATGGGAAAACTGAAAAAGGTCTACAACATTTAATTTAATGACAGGAAAAGGAAAGACATGAACAAACTATCTTCCTATCTATAAAACACTGAAAATCTCCAGAGAGGATGGAGTATTTCAGATGCTTTTGAACATCTAATATTCAAAAGGTAAGGCATACAATAAAAATGTTCCCCCAACTCAAACAGCATCTGAAAAAACAGATCTCAGAGAACACAATGTATGGGGCTGGGATTGTAGCTTACGGTAGGGCACCTGTGCGTAGCATTTGTGAGGCACTGGGTTTGATTCTCAGCACCACATGAAAACAAATAAATAAAGATTAAATTCTTTAAAAAAAAAAACCACTATGTACAATTATTTCATCTGTGATCCTTTTGGAAAGGTCTTCCAAATACTGCATAAGGGCAAAAGAGGCAAATTATAACTAATTAGATCAGTTGTCAGGTCTTGGAAAAGTATGTGAGATTTTAAAGTGTAGAGAATAGAACAAAACGATTATTTCTCATACTTCACTACAAATGTAAGTTTGTGACAGGTCTTATTCCAAGATTTTTCATATTCAAAGTCAAAGAGTTTAAAGAGAATGTTAATAGTTTACATCCTACTATCTTCAAATTTAAACTTCCAGGGCATTGCCATTCAACTGGTCATAGCAGTTCAAGGGAGAGAGAGAACTTAATAATAATAACAGTGTGCAATTCGGAGCTTTTATTTGCAAGCACATAATGGTAGGGAATGGTCCAGACTCCCTAGTGTGTAACCAAGTGCTGAAAGACWGTCTGAGGATCTTATTTCACCAAACCCTAAGTGTTGAGACAGGAGGTCTAGCATGCACGTAGAATACTCCTCCCCAAAGCTATCAATCTTCACTGTCTGAGAAAACAAAAGTGAAAACACTCGTGGTAAGGATGTATGAGATTGATGCCACCCCCCACCTCAACACAGAGACCTCTGTATCCGTGTCGGCACGTAAATAAGCAGGAGTACACGCACTCTCTCACCTTCCCTCCTTTGAAGGAAAATGGAACCAAGGGAGGGGCGGCCAAGACCGGGTCGGCGAGGCCCGAGATCCAGTCCAAGGGATGGCCGGGCTTAAGGGTCAGTACTCTGGGGAGCCGAGGTCACTTACAGGACACCATCTTTCTTGATCTCCCCCTTTCATCCATCCCTCTCCCGTCGTCGCCCCCAACTCCTTTCCTCCGCCCCATCCCCTCCACCCATTAGCCGGGAAGGGAAGTTTCCAGGCGCCTGCAGCCCGGCTCCCCAACCCTCAGCGGGGTTACCTTCTGCAGAAGCAGGACAAGGGGCAGGGGGCAAGGGGARGGGAGGCAACCCGAAGGAGTGAAGGACGAAGCCCCCGGCGAGGAAGGTGGGCGGCGGCGGTGGTGGCGGCTGTCAGCTCGCGTTCCCTGCTCACAGCGCTGCCATTACTGTGCGCCGAGGCCGCCTCCCCGGCCGGCCTCCGCCACCCGCCCTAGAGACGCGGGGGGTGGGGAGCAAAGCCCGGGGAGCCCGCGCGCCGACACTCACCTGCCTCCGCGAGGAAATACCTTAAAGCCCAAGGCCGCCGTCGCTCCGGGGCGGGGCAGGGACMGTAGGGAAGGGGAAGAGGGAGAAGGACAGGCCGATTACTAGATCTGTAAATCAAACGTCCTCCTGAGCAACCGGCTTTGCCCAACACACACCCTCTGATCGCCTTCTTCCGCTGCTTCCAAATCCCCCCTCAGAAAGCAATGGTAGAGTCCGCGTTACGGCAAGCGCGAGGAGCCCAGTTTTATGCAATTGCGAAGGCCACGGAAATCAATATGCAAAGTGCTTCCTCGAGGTGCTCACTAGTGAAGCAATCACAGTTCTCTGAGCTCAAGAGACACAATACCCGACAAGTTTTGTGACTTCGAGTAACTATTTGTCAAAACGGTGTTTTTAACATAAGTATTCCACCTCGAAGAGTTTCAGATCATCGCGAATATTCCAAAACCTCTTGCCACACGCCTCCGAAGTATATTGATTAAGCTACTTTTCCCTCTGGCAAACTACTTTTTTTTTTTAGTGGGTTTTTAATCTATAGACAAAGTCTGCGACATAAGTGTATTTTCATTAACGAAACTTTCCCTCGCAGCTGCGATCGCTAACTCCGCACCTTCACCAATCCCCAACTCCATCCCCTTAAAGGGTAACGTTGACAAACGGGGAGCGCTGCCCATCACCTCCTCAAGACACACAGAACCACAAGGGAACACCTTTGTTCCATAATTACCTTTCATATCGCCAAGAAGTCAGTAGTCAAGGTTTGCTCTTCGTTTGTACATTTTGAGCAAATATTTCCCTTCCCACCCTTTCTTCCAAACTGTGCCAATCTTTCAAATCCCATTTAAAAATCCTGTCGCTCCGGGTGCAGTGGCGCCTGTGTGTAATCCTAGCGACGCGGAAGGCGGAGACAGGAGGTCCACAAGTTCAAGGCCAGCGTGGGCACAGTGGGATAGACCCTGTCTCAATATTAAAATAAAAACGGCTGGGGGTGTATGTCAGRGCTCACCTAGCATGTGCGAGGTGTCCTGGGTTCAATCCTCAGTACCGCAAAAAATAAGAAAATCCTGCCTCCTGACCTGACCAACCCCACCTATTTTTCTCCTCTTACTACTTGCTTCATAGCACTTGAAGTCTGTACTCTTCAATGCAATAAAAAGTTATGTTATACTAAATTAAGTTGTTTCCATTGTATCACCTTAATTTTATTAAATTTCAACACTTTCTCATATTTTGTGAAGAAATGGGAAGGGCAAATGAAATTCTGCTGCATGCCAAAGCTGTCTTGAAGAAAAGCAATTGTGGTTGAGTTACCCGCTGAAATAGCTGCTTTTATAGAATATCATTCTGCTTGAAAGAACGATTGACAAACCAACGTTATTCCAACTTGGGAATTCACAAATATTTTCCCCCAAATGAACTAAGTGAGTTAACACTTCAAGCAAACACTTGGCAGTATTTGTTGCCAATGATAAAATTTAGCTTTCAAGTGGAATTTGAAAATTTGGAAAATGTATGTTCACCACCATGAGCTGGACAGTTTCCCAAGACTTCAAAGACAGTGCTGAAAACAAATATGACCTTTTGATATTATATGATGAAATATGTCAACATATGGAAGATCCACATAACAGTGAACCATAATTTTCCAAATGACTTTCCAAATGACCAAGGCGGGATATTACAAAATCATGTATCAATAAAAGATTCATTCAAGCCAGGCACAGTGGCACACACCTGTAATACAGCAACTCAAAAAGCTGAGGCAAGAGGATCAAAAGTTTCAGGCAATTCAGCAAGACCTTGTGTCAAAATGAAAAATAAAAGGACAGGGGATGTGGCTCAGTGGTAAAACAWCCCTGAGTTTAATCCTCAGTACTGCAAAAAGCAAAAGAAAACAAAATACAAGATAGATGAATGGATGGATATTCACAGTCTACTTGTTTGTATGATAATATGTGCATACATATAAAAAACAAAGTACAAAAAGTCTTACCCAGGACTATCCAAAAAGATAATTAATGCTCCTTCTAAGGCCTGAGTTTCATGATATAATTCAACCATATAGAATCTAGCTGTATTCTAAGTTAAATAATAAGAGATTTGMAAAAAAAAAAAAAAATGTAAAAACAATGCCTTTCTTTTCAGAAAACTGTATTTTGGAAAATACAGTTTCTTTTCATAAAAATATGCAATTTATGTAAAAATGTTTTGAGTATTTTAAAATTAAACCAATAAGTATATTTTAATTCTTAATATAGTAACTGTGGATATATATAACCCCTGCATACTTAAATTCTTTGAGGTCCTCAATAATTTTTAATCATTGAAGTGGGTTGCAGACTAAGTTTTAAGAACCATTGCTCTTATGAAATGCTCCCGATTCTATCGTGTTCCTCTTAAATTCTGATTAGAATGGGGACTAGTGTGAATGGTCCCAAATATGAATCACTACAACATCCTTATATTTCTAAACTCCAGAGACCTCCTACTTTATAGCTATCAACCTATATAATGAGGAAACCTCATCTCTAAAATGATTTACTAAATCCCAATTACTTAATATTATATTAGAATTACTTCTTCATTCCAATAAAAATGTCTTCTTTCTGATCAACCATTCAGACCCCATTTTTAGCTATAATTGAACTTTACCCACCCCCTCAATCTTAATTCATCTGTGAATTTTTTTTCTTGTGTTACTTCTTAAGAAACATTACATTTAAAAATGTTTTGGGGGGAGCTGGGTATGGTGACACATGCCTATAATTCCAATCTCTCAGAAGCCAAGGCAGGAGGATCCCAAGTTCAAAACAACCATCCRCAATTTGGTATAGCCCTAAGCAATTTATCAAGACTCTGTCTCAAAATAAAAAACTGAGGGACTGGGGTTGTGGCTCAGCGATAGAGCACTCACCTAGCACATTCTAGGCACCACAGAAAAATAAATAAATAAAGATATTGTGTCCAACTAAGAAATAAATAATTAAAATAAATAAATAATAGAAAAGTCTAGGGATGTGGTCCAGTGGTTAAGTGCCCCTGAGTTCAATCCCAGGCATTTAATCTCTGTTTAAAAAATTAATAGAGGTCTGGGGTTGTGGCTCAGTGGTAGAGCATTTGCCTCACATGCATGTGGCACTAGGTTTGATCCTAAGTACCACATAAATAAATAAAACAAAGGTATTGTGTCTATCTACAACTAAGGATAGCATCTTCAACAAATGGTGCTGGGAAAACTGGAAATCCATATGCAACAAAATGAAACTGAATCCCTTTCTCTCGCCATGCACAAAAGTTAACTCAAAATGGATCAAGGAGCTTGATATTAAATCAGAGACACGGCATCTGATAGAAGAAAATGTTGGCTACAACCTACAAGCTGTGGGGTCGGGCTCCAAATTCCTCAATAGGACACCCATAGCACAAGAGTTAACATCTAGAATCAACAAATGGGACTTACTCAAGCTAAAAAGTTTTTTCTCAGCAAAAGAAACAATAAGAGAGGTAAATAGGGAGCCTACATC